TAACACACTTGGCATGCACCGACGCAACAGTGATGTTTTTGTCAGCGGTCCCCTCATGCTCACTGTCGGCGGATCGGATGGCGCAGCGGATAACTCGATGGATTCTGGATGGGACGACGATACGGGACTTGTGGATCGGATCCTCCTTGCGGCGAATTTTTTGCATTTTTCACCGTTCATTCATTTGCGTTGCTGTGTGTCTAGCAGTGGAAATAAGCCAAGTAAATATATGCTCGTTCCATCGTTCAGCGTACGCGTGGGTGACCGCTGAGTATGTCGAAGAGCATCCTGGACCGTTTTCAACTCCGACCGACTTCGGATTCAACGAAGGAGATGTTGTCGTCCCTTGTCAAGAAGACAGTAACTGTTCTTCTCTGGCGTTTGTTAGGTGTAGTTGGTGCAATAGATGCATATGCTTCACATGTTTTGTTGAACTTTACCACAGTTGTTAGATTTGTCTATCAATGAAGGGAAATGTTAACGTAACGAGACGAGAACATTCCCGGAAACAGGCTTCTCCACACAACCGAGCTGGTTTGTAAGGTATCAGAATGAAGAATATGCCTTCAAATGGCATATACTTGGCTTATTTCCACTGCTAGACACACAGGAACGCGAATGAATAGAAAGCTGAGAAATGCAAAAATTTGCCGCAAGGAGGATCCGATCCACAAAGTCCCGTATCGTCGTCCCATCCAGAATCCATCGAGTTATCCGCTCCATCCGATCCGCCGACAGTGAGCATGAGGGGACCGCTGACAAAAACATCACTGTTGCGTCGGTGCATGCCAAGTGTGTTACTACATGATACTTACATTTTGACTTTATTCAAACTATTTTCGAAGCCTAATAACGAGCACCTCATAAACTATGCATGCTCGAAGTTACAATCAGAACGGAGCCCATTAAGATAGTTAAAATCGCCCATTCTTGTCAAATTTTTTCACTCAGTTTTTGACCTCCCCAGAAACGCATAGCAAAAATGAAACCCATTTTTGTGATCCTTGTATGGACCCCTACAACAAGCAACAAACCATTTCCAAAAAGCGCGCCACGACCTGAACGACCTCCCTTGTTAGATACTAGTAGCGTTGGGTGAAGCGTAATTTACTGAGCCAGAGGCGACAGGATATCTCTTCGCTCACATAAAGCGAACAGGGCCGGAGAACTCGTTACAAGATTTCTCTTCGCTCTTCTCTTCAGATCACCCGGCGGCTGAAGGTTTGTAATTGAAGCCCTGTGCTTACTATGCAATCGCGGGATTTGTCTTTACGCACCCAACAACTCTTGTTGATAGTTTGGTTGCAGTCGAAGACTGTGTCAGAACCCATTAGTCTACGTGTCTGTACTGTATTTGCTCTTTTCTTCTTTCGTTAGCTTAATTTTTCACGCCACCTTATCAGAAACGTCAGTCACAGACTGAACAGGTCTCCTGCAAGGGTTTTCTATGTGATCGCATAGGGAAGCGCATAACTCTCTAACCCTGCCATAGTTGCATATTAACTTTTTGACAAGCTGCTTATTTCCACATTGTCTCGGCTGGGTGACGCAATTGATCCCACGTATGGTGACATATTATGTGTCAACGGCACTCTTCGCTCTTTTTGGACTCAAAATGCTCCATGAAGGTTACCATATGTCAGCTAGCGAGGGACAGGTTAGTGGACTTGAGTGGTTACTTAGTTTCCTTTCTGCTTTTATTACTGAAAAAAATAAAGCCGTTCCTGTAGAAGACGTCGCATCGCTCTTGGATGTGGGCATCTTGGGAATGGCTGATTGTTAACACTTGTTGTAGACAGTCCCCGGCGCTCGAAGTGAAGATTCCTTTCTCTGCCAAATGGTGCGCATGCTGCTCGGAAGGTGTGTACTACTTTCGCGATCCGCAGTGCATGAGGAAGCACGCGACTCCGCAAATTGAGACTATGCCAAAATGTATTACTTTGCTGGACGAGAATGCATGTGCAGGTCGAAACATGGGATTGTGTGGGGCCAGGTCGTAGCTACAGGCTAGTGATCGTAGAATACAAAACAGTCCGTTTCTTTTTTTATACATTTTGTCGAAGGGATACTCGTCGCAAGCCATGCAGTTCATAGCGAAGCGCCTTTTGACTCTTCTTAAATGAACCGATCCCTTTCGTGTATGATTATGATTACAGTAATCCCAGTCCCACATGATGTTTCCAAAACTGGTACATGTCGTGCTTCAAGCAGTTTTAGTAGTTCTTTTTTTGTCGTATCTCATCTAGTGGGGGAGGGTGGGTAGTAACGGTTGTTAGTCAGGGGATGCGCAGAGTCAGCGGCTTTATCGATATTTCGGCATGAAGTCAGCAGGTCCGGAATACTAGTTCAGTTAAAGGAGCCTTATTCTACGCTCGTTTGTACCGCTTCTCTGAATCGCAAGGATTTGTTTTGAGTGAGGGGTTTTTTTATTTAAGGAAGAATTCGAAGAAGCTCAAGCAGAGGTGGCTAAACGAGAGATGGATTTGGATGCTGGAAAGTTCGTCGATATGGAAGCAGGAAATGCTGGGCAGGGCAGGTATGCATTGCTGTGCTATGTTACTTGTACAATTTTTTTAACCTCTGATAATTGAACTCCTTCAGTAGCTCTTCATCTGCGTGGCTTATTTTCTCATTCGCTTCCCGTATTTTCATTGAAGCATTCATGATGACCTTCGTAGCAGAATGGGGAGACCGTTCTCAGTTAACGACTATTATTCTTAGCTGCCCGGGAAAACATAGGTATAGTGTTACTGGAATGATTTTTGATGTAATTCCGTCTTCTTGCCTTCGAGAAGCGCAGAAAACTAGTGGTTTTCAGCGGGTGTTATCAGCGGAGGTATACTTGGTCATGCAATTTGCACGGGAATAGCTGTAGTCGGAGGAAAGCTAGTAGCGCAACGAATTTCCGTACGAACAGGTATCCAGGCTCTTCCTATAAATGTTCTTTTTTTATCTGCACTATTCGCATTTCATGAATTTTTTTATCAACATCAGCCCTTCTCGTTTTCAGTCACGCTCGTCGGAGGTGTTGTCTTTTTGATATTTGCTCTCTCATCACTCTTCATCAATGATGCTGAAGAGCCATCAATATCATTACGGGTCGAATAGTTTGTCTTTCATAGAATTTCGAATGATAACATAGTAGTTGTCCATTCCTAGGCTGTTAAAGTCTTGCCTTGACTCACCATGGTAAATTTTGAAGCATAATTCTCAATGGTTGCAAAATTGACCGCAGATTGTACTTTTTCCATATCACACGTTATATAGAAAGTCATGATTGCCATCGCACATTTTTCACAATTTTCGTACATCAGGTACCAGGAAATGTTGACCCCATTTTACCAGTCCTCTGAAGAGTTAAAGGCATGCGGCA